AAGCATATTTCACCTTATTGGTAGTGAAATGCGTTGGAGCTCTTCGGCTCTGCCACTTCCTGGCTGTGACATGGAATGCTGTTGCATCTCTTTGCCCGTTTGCTTATTTGTGAAATGAGCTGAGGGTAATAGCATCCACTTTAAAGGACTGGTGGACATTGGGTGCTCATCCATGCTTAGCACAGTGAAAATGATCATCACAGTTCTGCCTTTATTTATTCTAAAGGTGGGCAGGTGCTGGGAGAGCACTATAGTGGAGCACTAAGGTGGAGCATTGGGGTGGATCACTGGGGTGGAGTACTGGGGTGGAGCATTGGGGTGGAGCACTGAGGTAGAGCATTGGGGTGGCACACTAAGCCAGCCTTAGACAGCGATCACAAAAAAAAAAAAAATTTTCCAGGAGTTGTCATGCCCCAGCAAATGAGTCAAAAGGAAGAATGGAAAGCAGGATGCTTCACTGGAGAGGCGAAGGGTTTTTCACAAGAGATGGGGCCTGAAGTGAGGGAGATGGATGGAGGAGCAGATGAGGAATCCATCATAGAGGTCTTGCTTTATCAGCCCAAGGGACTCCCATTCAGTTCCTGGGAAGTGAGAACCCACAGAAGAATCTGTGTGGAGCTGGCTTCTTGTTGACTTGTGGATTCAGAAGGACCTCTGAGAAGGTGTTCTGAGGGTTCCTAGAGGATTGAGAATGCTAGGGCCAAGGGAGATGGGCAGGTCAGCACCTTTACATAACACTTGCTTTTTTTTTTTTTTTTTTTTTTTTTTGGTTTTTCCAGACAGGGTTTCTCTGTGTAGCTTTGCGCCTTTCCTGGAACTCACTCTGTAGCCCAGGCTGGCCTCGAACTCACAGAGATCCGCCTGGCTCTGCCTCCCGAGTGCTGGGATTAAAGGCGTGCGCCACCACCGCCCGGCAACACTTGCTTTTTAATTCCTGGGCCATTTGAAGCGAAACCAAAGAAAGGCAAGGCTGCCCATGTGAGAACTACATAGGCTGCAATGTGGAGTTCTCACGTGGAAAAAAAGTCTGCTGAGACAGTAGTACTAGGTGACCATTGCGCTCTCTCTCTCTCTCTCTCTCTCTCTCTCTCTGTCTCTCTCTCTGTCTCTGTCTCTCTCTCTCTCTCTCTCTGTGTGTGTGTGTGTGTGTGTGTGTGTGTGTGTGTGTGTGTGTGTGTGTGTGTGTATGTGTGTGTGTGCAGCAGTAAGTGTGGATCTAGTCTGGGCAGGTAAAGACAAGTTCTCTGGCTTCCTAGAATTTCAAAGTTGTCTTTCCTTACAGCATGTGATGAAAACATCATTTTTTTTTCCTTCTAATTTCCTCTAGTTAACTTTGTGTCTGGGGTGGCAATTTCTCTTTCTTTTTTTCTTGATTACTTTCTAATTCTCTGTAGAGATATGTGGCTAGAAGTTAAAAAAAAAATGAAAACGCATCAGAAAATGATTCACATGGAAAGTCTTCACTCCTAAGTATGTGCATATAAACAGGAAATCTGAACCCTAGCAACCAACTTTGTTGGCTTTGGCTGGAGCTTCGCTGTGCTACTTGGAGGATGAGTTGTAGAAATACAGCTGTGTTGGAATGGTGGACAGCCATGAAGTGAGTGCCTGTTTTCTAGAGTGAGGAGAGGCATTTCTTTGTCAACTCATCTGGAATCACTTCCGTCCTAGAGAGCCGTTTGGATACTGTGGGCTTACAGAGCAAGTGAACAGGTGCTCCACTAAGTGTGTGCCAGAAAGTGACTTTTTTGGAATGCTTACAGACCTTATTAAAATGTGTTGAAAGTGTTTGATCCTTCATCATTCCCAGTACAGCCTTACCTAATGTTGAAGGCATGAAGACAAAAAGAGGCAGCTAGAGCTGATCTTACATTTTCACACTAAATACAGGCTCTTAATCCATGAAGCCTCTGGCAGTGGACAACAAACAGCCAGGATTGTGACCTATGGGAGAAGACAGTCATTTGAGGGTTCTCTGGCCTGACCTTGTGTTTGGCCTGTGCCCATTTTCTGCCAAACTAGATGTGGCCAGCACTGGGAGAGCCTGCGGTCTCATAGCGTGGAGATGGCAGGTCTGTAGCTTAGGGCTGCTGAGGCTGGAATTTGTACAGCAAGATAATGGAGAAAGAAGTACTTGAGGCTTGAGATCTCCAGGTGATCGTGGATAGCAGACAGTAGCTGCATCCAGGCAGTGGACAGAAAGATGGATGCAGGAGGTTGTGTTCCTTGAGCTCCTTAGCCACAGTGTCAACAAACTGGATCAGCAGCATCTCAAGGAGTAGGGCTGCTTGCTCCTGCCAGGGATATAATTGAAGTGGATCCATCTCATCCAAATGTAGACCCTGGAGTCACAGTTGGTGAGACCTCCCAGTCATTTAGCTGCCACAACGGATCTGAGCCCCTCGAATTGTCTACTTTATGACAGAAAGGGACATGTGCTCATATTTAGAATGAAGATCAGCAAGGTGAAACACACTGACTGGAAACCAGTCATTAGGAATCTTGGTCTCTATTTCTCTTCTCTGAAAAAATACATTTAGATACAAGATTAAGTCCCACACGTTTTTTAATCTGAGAAAGTAAAGAAATAAAAATAAGGAAAAATAAATATGTCAAAAATACGTAGTAGGCAGCTTGAAGGGGCTCTCATTGGCTAAGTCTGAGTACCAGTGTAAAGTACAGGAATGGAGTAGGGATATATCCTAAGAAAAGCAGGACTTCATGTGTCTGTACTAAACCTAACTGCTTCACTAGGTGAACAAATGATGTAGAATGCTGATAATGAAGGAATAGTAATGTTAGAAAGAAGGTTGGAGTCAGTGTGCTGCAGCTGTCATTATGTAAAATATGTAACAGGAAGACATCGTGGATTGTGGTTGATATATTTTACACCCCAATAAACTTATCTGGGGGTCAGAGAACAGAACAGCCACTAGATTAAACATAGAGGTCAGGCAGTGGTGGCATACACACCTTTAATCCTATCACTCGGGAGGCCGAGATCCATCTGGATCTCTGTGAGTTCAGAGCCAGGCAGTGGTGGCATACACCTTTAATCCCAGCACTTGAGATCTCATGTCTTTGCTTGGGAAAGACACATGCCTTTAATCCCAGGAAGTAATATGGCAGGGCACAGAAAGGTATATAAGGCATGCAGAAACAGGAACTTGCTGTCTTGAGGCAGGAATTAGAAGCCTTTTAAGCAGTTCAACTGAGACCCTCATGGGTGAGGACTCAGAGGCTTTCAGTCTGAGGAACCACAATCAGTTGAGAAGTTGGCGAGGCGAGGTTGGCTTGTTCTATTTCTCTGATATTTCAGCATTTACCCCAATATCTGGCTCCAGGTTTCTTTTTATTAATAATACCATTTAGCAGTTCTTCTTACAGTGGATACCTAGGAAATTTTCTTCTTTTCTGCTTCTCCTCCTCTTTCTCTTTTTCCTTCTTTCTCTCTTCTTCTTTTCCTTTGTCTTAGGCAGGGGCTTACTATGTATTTCAGGCTGGCCTTGAACTCATGACCCCCTTGCCTCTGTTTTCTAAGTATTGAGATTATGCAGGAGTGGGGGTGGGGGAGGAGGGATTTTGAGGGAGGACAAAGTATTTGGATTGTCTTAGAATGTTTTCCCCTAGCTGAAGTATTAGTTGCAAGGAGAAATGCCGCGATTTCTTTTTATTGAATCAAGTGGGTATTACTTTGGGACCAGGAAAGACCTTGTACCTTTAGATGTGATATTTAGAGAGTTTCTCACTTAGGAAATTTTCTGGCTGAGAAAACATAAGCCATTCTCATTCATCCAGAATTACTGGAGGAAAGGTCAGACAAGCCAAAATGGAAATGTTCCATCAATTTAAAAAGGAGGAGCTTCATTCTTCTCAAAGCGGTACTGTGTGTGTGTTTCAGGTTAAAGAGGATTAAGAGCGAAATGCTTTATCTAACCCTGAACTGGATCCTGAATTGTAAGAAATCTTATAAAAAAAATCCTTGTTAGGGCAACTGAATATGGAGTGAATTCAAACTTCGGTGGCAGTGGTACCAAGGCTGATGACTGCTTCGTGATTGTGTAAGAGTGTTCCTATTCTCTGGGAATCATTTCTGAAGTTTTTAGAGAAAAAAGGGCCATGATGTGTGAAACTGATCTTCATATAGCTCAAGACAAAAGTGCTAAATGTGTGTGCTAAACATTCAGGAAAATGGGTTAAATGCCAGGAAGCAAATCCAGGTAAGGGCTACATGAGTATGTTTTGCACTTTTATTTTTGAAACTTTTCTGTAGATTTGTAATTATAAAGATTTAAATTATAAAGTTCAGCAATGGTAAATATGACTTAGAGGGCAAAGGAGGGGATGTGAAAAACACAGGTTCAGTTGCCTCGGTATGGATTTTCTACCCTAAGTTCCTTTTCTAAGTAAACTATTTTGTGGCGGTGTCTTGGTCACTTTGCAGACAAAGGCATTTCTGCATCTGTTGGCAGAAAAGGTAGACCAGCAGATCCAATGCAAGAAGAAACAATATTGATTGCACCTCCCAAGGGCTGGGATTCAGGAGCCACAGAGGATGGGGGAATTGAACCCAAGGCTTTGGCATGCTTGGCAAGCACTCTGCCAGCTGCACTGTATGCCAGCCCCTCTCATTTCTTCTTTGATACTTCTTAGCGGAATAGTTTGGGGGGAAGTTTTCTAACCATTGGGAACTTTAACTACTGCTGCATTTAAAAAGAGTATCCTCAAGAAGTATCATATCCTCAAGATTGTGGAGTTCCAGTGAGGAAATGTATACCAGTGCTCTTTGAAAATTAGAAAAATTTCTTTTACACATGCTGACTTACTACTTCGAGTTTTCATTATAGATGAAAGATGACTCAGGCCTAACTAGAGATTTTCCTTAATTTTGGTGGTCGTTTCTCCTCTTAATGGTGAAGATTTTCCCCGATTAGATGAGTTTTTTCCTCAGTGGACACTGGTTCCTTTGATTGACTTCTTTCCTGCCTTTGTTATTCTAGGCAAAGCTTCAGTGGCTGAAGGAGCTGTGACCTTTCCAGCACAGGGCAGTTGGAGCACAGCTGTGGGGTGTGTGTGGAAGAGATAGCACAGGTAAGTGAAACTGCACCTCACTCATTCTGGAGGAACTCAGGGTCTGAAGTTGTAATTCCCTGTAATTCCTCTTGCTTTGTTGTGAGATTGGGTGTCCAACTCAGGTGGTGGTGAGAGAATGTCCAGTCTTTTGTGGTATCTCAAGGAAAAATTTGCCAAGGAAATGTACCAGGCTTTTCTTTGTTTGGGGCCACCACCCAGCTCCCAAATCATGACAGAGACTTAGTAGTTTTGAATGCTTGGCCTAACTTAGGCACGTTTCTGGTTAGATCTTTTAACTTAAATTAACCTGCTTCTCTTTATTTTTTGCCTCAGGGCTTTTTACCTTTTCTTCCTGTGTGTCCCACTTTTCCTTCTTCTTCTGTGTCTGTCTGACTGGCGGCTGCCTGGCCGGCTAGCCCCAGGTATCTCTCTCTTTCTCCCTTGTTCTCTCCACTCTTCTTCTCTCCTCTTCTGAGCCTAGAATTCTCCCTCCACTAATCCTCTCTGCCAGCCCCACTTATCCCTCTTCTGCCTAGCTAATGGCCTTCCAACTTCTTAGTAGACCAATCAGGTGCCTTAGGCAGGCAAGGTGAAACAGGAACACATCTTTTCATAATTAAACAAATGCAGCATAAACAAATGTAACACATCTTTACACAGTTAAAGTAATATTCCACAGCATAAACAAATGTAACACATCTTTACATAGTTAAATGTTCCACAACATTTCCCCCTTTTTGTGTAAATAAAAAGGAAGGGTTTTAACTTTAACATAGTAAAGCTATATACAACAAGAACAATTATCAAGTAAGGATTACATTTACAATATTCAATCCATTTGTATTTGGCAAATTCAAAGAAAATACTCCATTGTTTATCCTATCTTGGTGAGTCCAAAGTTTTGTACCTAATTTACCTTCTGTCATAACTAAGGGATAGTATAACTATAACTATCTAGTCTTCAACTCCATCAAAGACCCCAAAAGGATATAATATTACCTGAGTAAACAGAAAGTGCAGTGCAAACCACTTCCAAAACTATAGAAATGACAGACATCTGGCTGTCTGGACAGGCACCCAAGGTTCTTCTGCAATCTTGGGACATCTGCCTTTGGCCTACAGGCCTAGACTATCTGGCAGACTTTTCCATGAAGCAGGAATTTTGAAGGACTGTCCTTCCTTGTTTTTATCAAAGTTTGGCAGTCACTTTCCTTTGTGCCCTGTATGTCCAGTTTGGACAGAATACTGTCAACTGTAGAAGCAAGAACAGTTTCTTGCCCAAATGGTTAGCTTTGTCACAATGAAAACAAATTCCACATGGAGGTTCTTAGATGTCCATCATCCTTTTATGAAGTAGATTGATGCTGCCAGGAGCAGATGTGTTGCACTGTCATGAAAAGACCTGTGATAACAAAACATTTTAAATGCCATATTCTGTAGGTCTTTGAAGTGTTCAGATACTATCTATCTAAACATATTTAACATAACTACAAGTTTGATTGTTATAGATGACTAACTACTAACCTCCGTTTCTTAATTATCCTTAATGGTTTATAATAATAGCTTTCAAGGACCAGAACTTTACCTTACATTTGTAAATGAATAGGTATAATACTGCATACAGTACCTTAAACAAGAGTATAAACATATATACAGAATGTTGTAACAAAAATAACCTTAAATTTGTATCAATATACAAAGATCCTTTAGATTAGAGACATATATACAGTATAAGAAAAATAACCTTAAATTGGTATCAATATACAGAAATCCATGTCAATGTAAAGTATTTGAGATTAATAGTTGTTTTCAGTCTAAAAGTAGTTCAATAATCTACTTTTATCCTATCCTTCCCATATCTCCCCTTTTTCTTTTTCAGAAAGAGAGCCTTGAATCCAACCCCTCCTTATTCAGTTTCCTCTCTTATCAGAACCAGTAACAATTTGCAACTAACCCCCCTAAATGGTGACAAACATCCATAACCCATCGAATGATCAAAAACCACCATGTCTTGGGAATGTGGGCCTTGTTTTCCCTAGACTGCTTCCTGTTGTCTGTGGGCAAAAGCATCTTTTTAGGGAACCTGAAAAAATTGAAATAATGATCAAGTCCTGAGGGAGATAACTACAATATATATTGTCTAGTCTCTACAATGGGAAAGCACAAGGCTTATCTGTAGTCCTGGCTAGAACAGTCTGTGAGGCTGGACCATCTCAGCCAGCATTCTTAAAGCTGTTCTGGATGCAGAACTCTGAGGAAACTGCAACAGAGGCGCTCTGAAAAGCTGGATCACCTGCGCCACCCATTTTCATTGGTTTCTGGTCCTCTTGTTCTGAAAACACACAAACTTTCAAAGGTAACATACATATCTGAATTAATACAAATATGGACTGTGTGTTGCACGCAAGCCAGTCAAAGATGATTTTTTTTTTAATTTTTGAGCCAGCAAAATATACATTACCTGTCTTGTAATTTTTCGAGGTTTATTCCTTTATGTCTGTAGCCAGGATTTTCAGGGGATCTTCTCGGATCAAATCTGATCTCTTGAATGAATCCACAATATTTTGTTTTCTGTGGAAACAAAAGCTTAACCTATTCCTCAGGGTAATACATTTTTTGACTTCCATTTTAAAGTTAAGGCATGCCTAAAATATCTAGGCTGGTCTAATTCAGCAGTCCTTGTTATAGTCCCATGCCTCTCAGCAGCTGTCATTCACTCATCAGCAATTAAAAATTCAAAGTCAATACAACACTATACAGGATCCAGACTTCCTATGTACTTTTCATCTTATGTGACTTATTCTTTTTTTTATATTACTTTACTCTTTCTTTAAAGACTTTATTATTTTTAAACTTTATTTTTTTCTATATCCTTTTTTCCCCTTTCTTAATTTTACTCACATTTTTAAACACATTGGAACCTGTTTAGAGGTTTTTGTTTTTTGTTTTTTTTCCATCTGAACATGCTTTACTGCATATCTCTAGCCTTTTCTGTGTGTATGAACAAAGCCATAGCTACCACTGTGTCCTCCTCCTGGACTTTGGTGTCTGGCTTCGCCGCCTTCTTGGGTCTGTGAGAGCTGAGCCTTAAGTTCACGGGCCTGAACCAGAGGTGTATTTGAACAGGAACTTCATTCAACTACTCCAGCTCTAGGAAGCTTTTTGTTTCTACTTAATGTGCCAGCTGTTTAAGTGCTCTGCTGTGTGGCAGAGCTTCTTAGAGAAACTGTATCTTTTTTTTTTTTTTTAGCTTTCTCAGGCCCTATGTGGAAATTTGAGCCCCACATTGGGCACCAAATGTACTATGCTTTTTCTTTCTTTTTTTTGGAGTGGGGGCTGCAACCCAGCTTCCAAATTATGACGTAGAGACTTCTTACTAGTTATGAAGGCTCGGCCTAGCTTATGCTACTTTCTGGCTAGCTCTTTCAGCTTAGGTTAACCTGTTTTTCTTTACATTTTGCCTCAGGCCTTATTACCTTTTCTTTCTGTATGTTCCACTTTAACTGCATCTTCTATGTCTGTCTGTCTGGCCCTGGTCTCTCTCTTTCTCCCTTGTCCTCTCCTCTCTTCTTCTCTCCTCTTCTGCACCTAGATTTCTCCTCCTACTTAATCTCTCTGCCTGCCAGCCTCATCTATCCCTTTCTACCTAGCTATTGGCCATTCAGCTTTTTAGTAGACCAATCAGGTGCCTTAGGCAAGCAAGGTGAAACAGCAACATGTCTTTTCATCATTAAACAAATGCAACATAAACAAATGTAACACATCTTTACATAGTTAAATATTCCACAACAAGGAAAGGCAGGTTTTTTGTTTTTGTTTTTTTTTTTTTTTTTTTTTTTTTTGAGGGTCAGGAAGAGAGTTGGAAAGGCCAGCTTCTCCATTAGAGGAGGCAAACAATGTGGCTAGGCAGAACAACAGAGGCTACATACAGGAAATAGCCTCCTCCTGAGTCATGTAAGCCCCAGGATTTTGAAAGATTCCGGGAAGGCTTAGGGCGTCATCCAGGTCTGCTATCAACCGAAGTCTTTATCTTAGAAGATTAGAGTTAGCAAAGGTGCTTCCTTCTTTGCAGTTGGGCAATCTATGCCAGTGCTGCTAATGATGCCAGTGAGGCAGAATAAAGACCTTCTCTGCGTGTGTTGGTTGATGGCATAAAGCTAACTCAGAAGGCACCAAAATATGCCAATGTCACATTAAGGAGCAGAAGCAAAGCAGCTTCTCTGTGGATTAATTTGACCCAGTGCGAGCCCAAATTTCAGTCCTCCACTACCCTCTGCACCTTCTGCCTGTAGTTTGTGGTTGCTGGCCTAGCTGTAATCTGTCTGTGGTGTCTGTGCCTGACGCCTGTGACATGTGCCCATGTGCATCTGAATCTGTGCCTGTCCCTACAGAGGGCTTTGTTCCGAATTTACTGAACAGCAGAGAGAACATGGAAAGGGAGGGATTCTTTACAAAATCTTTCTTACAAGGGGAAGGAGTTACTTTATTGACCCAACTGACCCAGAAGAACATTTAACACTACAAACGATGTTATCAAGATAAATCCTCATGCTGCTTCTAACATTTATGGTGATTTGTTTTAAGGTTCTTCCAGCCTGTTGGCTGATTATCATCACAGCACGGACATACACATATGCCTTATTCTGGGTCGGGGGCATGAGAGAGCAAGCGCATAATTTAAGATTAAATCGGTGGCCGGGCGGTGGTGGCGCACGCCTTTAATCCCAGCACTCGGGAGGCAGAGCCAGGCGGATCTCTGTGAGTTCGAGGCCAGCCTGGGCTACCAAGTGAGTCCCAGGAAAGGCGCAAAGCTACACAGAGAAACCCTGTCTCGAAAAACCAAAAAAAAAAAAAAAAAAAGATTAAATCGGTGCACTTAGCTTAGCTTGTAAGAGCTTGCATGGGATATCCAAGACATAGTAAGGTGTGTGTGTTACATTGTTCTCTTAAAGGTGGGTTAAATGCAGATAGGCTGAGTGCACAGTAGGACAGCAGGCCAAGTACACAGTCTTAAATGA